TATTCATTATAACACACCTTTATACTATATTTACCACTCCTGATATATTCCGTATATCACTCACTATATAATCTGTATACCACTCATATACTCTGTATATAACTCACTCAGTAAACCACTCTCAATATACTCTGTATTCCACTCTCTATATTACCTATGTATACCATACTTTACAAACCCCTGTATATCACTCTCTATATATACCCTGTATACCACTCCTTATACCCTGTATACCACTCTCAATATACTCTGTACACCAATTCGTAGATACTGTGCATACTAATCTGTATATACTCTAGATCTGTATACCACTCTCTTTATATACATACTGTGTACCACTCTCTTTACTCTGTATTCCACTCTATATATTTTCTGTATACCACTCTTTATGTGCCCTGTATACTACTATTTATAATCTGTATACATTCCAATATAAAGACATTTCAATTATCTTTTATAATAAACAGGAGGCAGGGTTAGGGCAAGTCTATGGGGCAAATCCTGATAACATAAGTGTATCCAAATTGTTATGTTCAGCAATTGTATATACATGTATTAAACATAAACATGTATAGAATACCACAAACAGATTAAACACATGTATTCAGTATTATGGACAGATATTAAACTTGTATTTACTATCACACACAGGTATAACATATGAAATTGCTACAACAGACATGTGTAACACATATATATATAATGTCGCAGACAGGTATTACACACGCATATACTACCACAGACAGGTATTTCACATGTATATAATACCACATACAGGTATAACACATGTATATACTGTTGCAGACAGGTATAACACATGTATATACTACCACATTCAGGTATAACACATGTATATACTATCACACATAGGTATTGCACATATATAAAATATCACAAACATGTATAACACAGTCATGTATATACTTTCACAGACAGCTAGACATTACACATGTATATACTATCACACACAGGTATGACACATGTATATACTACAACAGACAGGTATGACACATGTATATACTACCACATACAGGTATAACACATGTATATACTATCACAGACATGTATAACACAGTCATGTATACAATATCACACACAGGTATATAACACATGTATATACCATCACAGACAGGTATTACACATGTATTACTACCACAGAGGTATTACACATGTATATTTATACATTTTACAATAATTATCCATTACATTTACTCTATACATGTGTTATACATACATTTAATTATACATGTATCATTATCGACAGTAAGACAGATTGATAATTGATTGCCTATCACTGTATATATTGACCGGT